CTAGGGAGTGACAGCCACAGAGTAACAAAGACGGACAACGATACAGAGCGACACAATGTGACACTATACTGACAGAGTGACGAGTAACAGATGAAAAGGAACAAAGTTAGAAAGAATAGCAACAGTGACACATGGATGGAAAAAAAGTGACACAAACGAGTCATATTTACAGAGAGAAAGTGTGACAGGGACAGACCTTGTCAGAAAGTGACAGAGTCACAGAGTCAGAGTCAGACTCACAGACAACAAGAGGGACAATTGGACAGGACAGAATGAGAGCAAAAACTGCTACCGAGACAAAATGACATATGAGCCACAGATATTAGCAGAGTGATGTATAAAGAGAGACAGAGAGACGGTGACAGAGTGAGACTGGAGTACCAGAGTGACAGAGCAACAGAGGGACTGGAGTGACTGTGACACACTGACACAGTCATAGCCTTTGAAAGAGTAAAGAGTGACAGAGTAGCATTGTCCCTGTCAGAGTACAAGAGTGCACAGCGACAGAGGGACTGGCCTGACTGTAACACAACCACACAGTCACAGAGTCTGAAAGAGTAAGAGTGGCCGAGTGGCCGTGACAGAGACAGAATAACACGGTGACATGATAACACTCAATAGTGAATCAGTGACAAAGTGAAAATAGCACTGACATTGACGCAAACATAGACTGTCACGGTGACCACATGTAACAGTGTGACACTACAAGAGTGACAGCAGCATGATGATACAGCCGCATAAATTCCACAAGCACTGACAGTGGCAGAGTAATAGAGTCACAGAGTCACAGAGCACGAGTGGGAAAGGTAAGGGGTGACAGAGTGACACTGTGCCACTGACACAGTGGCAGAGTGACGGAGGGACGGAGTGGCAGAGTGGCAGAGTGGCAGAGTGACGGAGTGACGGAGTGACGGAGTGACGGAGGAACAGGTGTACAGCCGTACAGAGGTACCGAGTGGCATAGTAACAAAGAGACTGGAGTGACAGAGTGACGGAGGAACGGAGGTACAGAGGAACAGAGGAACAGAGGAACAGAGGAACAGGCGTACAGAGGTACAGAGGTACCGAGTGGCATAGCAACAAAAGAGACTGGAGTGACAGAGTGACGAAGGAACGTAGGTACAGAGGTACAGAGTGGCATAGCAACAAAGAGACTGGCACGGTGACACATTGCTACAAAGACAGTCGGAGACTGACTAAGTGCCACAGTGACACTGACACAGTCCACAGTGACACTGAACCAGTACACAGTGACAGGGCGACAATGAGACAGTTTGGCAGAGAGTCCGGGAGAGACTGATCTAGTCATGAAGGGGCTTTGCCACAACACTCACTAAGTGCCAACACCTGTACGCCCAACATTGTTAACTCACTAAGTTGGTTCCCACAGCATACCCACCCAACAATTAAATTTTGACTAGTAGAGTACAGTCCAGACACATATAACACAATTTGTAAATGAATCTGGCATAATTCATGAAGGCATGTAGGCTGCTAAGTTCCAAAAACGTCAGCAAAGCACGTTGGAATGGACCACCAAATCCACCAAGCAGGTGGGCGGCTGAGAGGCTCCACAAACACCTTGCTGCAACAGGTGACTCTACAACGACGGTGGATTCAACTGGCACTCGCCATTGCACTAATCCTTCCGGATGTCGTGGAAAATGCAATTGGCGAGTTTGTGAAGTAACGGCACCCCCCCCCCAAAACTACTGGTGTTTGGCAAGTTCAGCAGGATGCCCAAACTGACGGAATGTTTGAGTGAGAGTGAAAGTGACAGTGAGGATTGACCCAATCCTTGCCAAAGAAGACGTTAAGAAGAAAGGAGAATGACAGACTGACAGTCTGACAGTTGAACAGTAACAGTGACAGACTGACAGTCTAACAGTTGAACAGTAACAGTGACAGACTGACAGTCTGACAGTTGAACAGTAACAGTGACAGACTGACAGTCTGACAGTTGAACGGTAACAGTGACAGACTGACAGTCTGACAGTTGAACAGTAACAGCGACAGACTGACAGTTGAACAGTAACAGTGACCTACTGACAGTGACACAAAAATTCATCCTTTCGATGCAAGTCAAACAATACCCAGGTAATATGTTCCCAGCAGAAGACTAGGACTTGATGAAAGACTACTTTAATCTACATTGCACTATCAGCAGCTTCCATCTAGGCTGTCCTTAAAAACATGAGCTGCCTGGCATGTGGGAACACAGAGGGAACCACAGAAGGTGATCATAATGATGCAAGCCAGGCTACCCAGGTAATATGTTCCCAGCAGAAGACCAGGACTTGATGAAAGACTACATTTATCTACATTGCACTATCAGCAGCTTCCATTCACGGTGTGAAAGGCCGTCCTAAAAAACATGTGCTGCCTGGCATCCAGGAATGCAGAGGGAACCACAGAAGGCGATCATAATGATGCAAGCAAGGCTGCAGGAGACCCCAAAGGTGATCATAAATCACGAGTGTCAGAGAACCAGTGCTGGTCCCTGGATGGCCCGGTAACCCCTCCCCCAACAGGGAGCCTCCCAGTTCGACCAGCTGGTGGACTGGGCCTGTGGTCTCCTAGTCGCCCCCAACGCATTTTGGCTGGGGCGAAATTTCGAGCAGGAAGGCAGCCTGGCTTCTTCCCACGGCCTCGGGGGAGCCGCCAACGCTGGGCGAAAAATAGAATCTAGCCAGTACCCCCGTGTTTTGCAACTTCAGCGGTACATCAGCTGACAAGATCGGCTGCATCTTGAACTTTCATAGAGAGGGAGTATACTAAGGCCCTTGAGATACACATGTTGAAGAAACTCGGCAAAATGACTCCGTAACCTCCGGAGGAGTGCTTTTCTTTGCAAGAACAGTCAAAAGTGGCACATAACAGGGGGTTGCGACTGTTTATTAAAAACACAGGACTCTGCCAAGTGGTAACACGATGTATAGAGCCTGAAGGTGAAAAGGAGAAGTGACATAAGCTTCAAATGGAAGCCCTAGTAAATGGCAGCAGTAACTCTAACTGTCAACTTTAGGGCAGTTAGCTTGCAATGGCAATAGTTGTTTGATCGGAGCTTCACTTATGTTGTGTGGTCCAATGGACCACAGACCAGATACTCAAACTGAACAGTAGGAATACTAGAATTGATCTCACCCGAGAGGCCGAGAAAGATATGTTCATGTCAAGGCTTCGCCCAAATTTACAATGCTTCTCCTAGAGTGCTACACTCTAGAAGAAAGTAACGGATTCAGGTTTCGGATTGTGAAGTCGAGCGCCAATGTTGTCTGAGGTGCAAGCCCAACCATGGGCCTCGCTCCACTACACATCCTCGGGGAGATGACCAGGCGAGATACTTTCGGACTGATGACCTACCCTCTGTCAAGAAAAGCAAACAGAAGGAGCTCTGGCTTCACGAGCTGAAACCTGACCCCATAAATTCCTTCCAGAGTGCTATCCTCTGGGAGAAGCCTATAAATCTTGGCAAAGCATTGGCATAAGCATCTACCTTACTCGGCCTTTCGACTATGATCAAGTGTAAAATTTCTACTGATCGATTCAATTTCTGAATCCTTTCATTTCCGGGGTCCATCAGACCACACAATATTAAATTGATTTTTCTGGGCCACAGAAGGTTCCGACGGGTAAGATTGCTTGTTTGAACCCTCCAGTGTTTCCTTTGTATTGAACTGCTGCAGAGCATGTGTTCCTTCCAAGGGAGGACTACCCAAACCCATCTCCCCCGCCTAGGTCAATGCAGTCCAGTCAGAACCGGCCGGCCAGTAGCTGGCCCAGCCTAGCACAGAACCTATTCTGTTTCCTAAATATTGAACTGCTGCAGAGCACGTGTTCCTTCCAAGGGAGAACTACCCAAACCCATCTCCCCCGCCTAGGTCAATCCGGTCCAGTCAGATCCAGACGGCCAGTCGCTGGCCCAGCCCTGCACAGAACCTATTCTGGCGAACTTCAACAGCCACTCCCCGGACGCTCAGGCGAGTAGTAGCAGCACTTCATCAGGCCTACGGGTGCACAGTCCTGGAAAAAGTGGAAACCCCGGACGCTCAGGCGACCAGTAGCAGTGCTTCATCAGGACTGCCGGTAGCACAGTCCTGGAAAGAGTGAAAAAAAAAGAACAAAAACTATCAGTTTGGCGTGCAAATTTTTTCACCTTTTAAGAAGACTTATTTTTATTTTTTATATTTTTTTGAAAAGATCCACAACTAATATATAAGCTCCATTTTTCTCATGTTTAGGCACCAAATTGCAGCTAGAATTTCTTCAACATCGTTTCTGTTTATTTTTTAAATGTTGTTCCTGGAAAGATCAGCACCTAATCTACGGACCGTCTAATTTTCAGGTCTCGCATTCTTCTGAGAATGAAGAATCGTAGAAGTTGGCACTCCTTTCTTTGTTTTTCCTGAATTGCTGTCGACCTCCGGCGCTCCGCCGCTTTACTCGGGCCTACCAGCTTTCCAAAGCTCCCGGAAAGTCAGTTTTCGACTGTCAGGGGAGTGGTTGAAAGAAACAACCGACCCTGGCCTGCCCAGCCTGGCATGTCAAGCCTACCAGGTCATAGTGACTTGCCCAGCCTGACACATCACGCCAGGTCATAGTGACATATGCATTCGGCTTGGCATGTTCGTTATTCCTGTCGCTGATACGGCGGAATATCCCACATCCCTGGATTTTTCTTGCAATTTTTAACGCACAGAAATGAGAACCAAAAATCCCCGAAGTCCGAGTACTCGGAATTTTGTGCACCCCGCATTCAAAATCGCCAAAGTTGGGGTATTCTGCATTCTACAACCCCTCCCTGCCCCCCTTTGTTGGTATAAAGATGAATAAATTCAAGCACTCGAGCATGCAATGGCCTCTGGATGACTTCACTCGATGTTAGGAGTTTACATCCCCCACTCTCAGCTGAGGAACCTCATATATGCCCTCTTTCAAAGGGACCTTGACAAAAGAAACGATGCAGAAAAGGATCAGCGACGGTATGGAGAGTGACTCACCTGTCTGGAATGGCACTGGGGCGAGGATATACAGCCTCAAGCACACGGTTTTCGCGCTCTTTCTGCACAGCGACCTCGTTGCTCTCATTTCCCGCCACCACACGCCAGGAAGGAGGAATCTCGACCTACGCAAGCAAAGTCAGTCAGACAAACCGCACTGAAGTTAGGAGAGACAACACAACCCCCACCACAGGTCTACACCCTGAACAAAAGCAAAGAGGTCGCACACCAAGACGGACCAGGTGCCCATGCATTGCGGCAAAACCAATCGCAAGCTCACCAACGTGGCCAGCAAAAGTCAGCGCATTCAGCACAAAAAACTGCAAGCTTTTGTATCACGACCCCTTGTCGAGCACTGCTGCATGACAGAGAGACTGGGATCCAACTGAGATCATCAATCAATAGTTCAAGCCAAGCCAAACTGCGGCCATACGATCACAGACGCATTCAAAGAGCAAAACCGAGCCTTGCAAACAATGGCATCCTTCAGACAGACAAGAAGGCAGGCCAGAATGCGCACTCATGCTCAGTGCTTCCATCCTTATACACATAATCACGTAGAAAGGAAGAGGGCAGGGATGAGGAGCATGAAAGAGACAAGGACCAAGCACGGAACCAAACATCTAGGTCCCATCTCCATGCACTTGCATTGGAGGACAACTGGGTGGCAGAGGGAGTCGGAGGATGGGAGCAAGAGGAGAAAGTGAAATAGGATGTCTCTGTGTCCTTCCCTCCTTTCATACAGAATTGCAGGACGCCGATGAGGCGGGGGAGGAATATAGGGTCATGAATACTAAAGAGGACGAAAGAACGCAACCAATCATCTGGGTCTTCCTGCCTCCATGCACTTCAATAGGAGGAGAACTGGGCGTTGAGGAGGAAGTCAGAGGAGGATGGGAGTAGGAGGAGAAAGTCAAATAGGATGTGTCGGGAGAGCCAAGAGGGCAGGCAGGAATCAGCACTCCTGTGGTGTCCTTCCCTCCTTTCACACAGATTCACAGAACAAGGAAGATGGCACTGATGATGGGGGGAAGGAATATGGGGTCACGAAGAGTAAAGAGGACGAAGAATCCAACCAGACATCTGGGTCCTCCTCCCTCCATGCACTTCCATATGAGCCAAACTGGGTGGAGGAGGAATCCAGAGGATGGGAGAAACAGGAGAAGGCCAAATAGGATATCTCGGGAGTTATTCTACATGAACAAACACCGGGTTTTTTTGTGAGATCCGCTTGAGAGAGCTTTGATCCCTGATCGGCCGAGCACAAAGGCCTCTTTGCCACTTTTACAACTTATTCCACTTCTCCCCTTTTCATTTGCCTACTCGACATCTCCAACCATAGATAATAATGACCAGATATAACTCTTGAAAAAAAAAAACGATTTATTTTGTCAGAACGAGTTCAGTGGTAACGACTCCTGCCCGTGTTCGTAATGAAGAACTTACAAAAAGTTAAATTCAAAATGTTACACATTGTCCGAAGACTATGTGACTGACCCTGGAAACGAGACATGACCATGGCCAATTATAGAGTAGCTAGGAGGAGACATGACCACATCTAAGAACAGAACAGTCAGAACGAGACATGACAGTATCTAATAATAGAACACAGTTCTACACTCCAGTTGGGCTATGTGCGGTCAGCGTTAGTGATACGTGACCCGCCATCCACAACAAGAAGCAAGGACGAGACATGACCGCATCTAATAATAGAACAGTTAGAACGAGACATGACCACGTCTAATAATGGAGTCGGTTGGTCTATGTGCGGTCAGCGTCAGTGATACATTACCCACCATCCACAACGAGAGGTCGGTTGGTGGTACTTTCGTATCACTTCCAATCCATAAAGATTTTAGGGTTCCCTCGTTGAGTAGTTCACCGTTAACCTTGTCATCCAATAGGCGCCAGCTTCACCAGCATCATCGTTCCCCAAACTTCCCATTGCGCAATGGTCAAAGCTCGATGCAAAACAGACCTAGCATTAGGCGCTGCAATGTCATTTATCTATAGACTTGGGGAAGGGATCTAAGTGCCTCGATTATGTTCATGAAAGGTCGACAATGTCCTTGTTACCTAGCATCACGGCGAATCCTTGAGTTTTTCTGGAGGACTGACTTCGACGATTCCTTCACTGAGAAACGCTACAGAGGAGAATAGGAGAGAATTGCCAAAGCCCGATTTAAAACAGGTATTATGCCTCTCTGCCTCGGTTCTGTTCATGAAAGGTCGACAAGACCCTGATTGCCTGGCATCGCAGCCAATCCCTGAGAGTTTCCGCAGGACTGACCTTCATGTTTCCTGCACTGAGAATTACTATGGAGGAGCTCTCTCCATCAAAGACTGCAACGTGGAAAAGAGCTGGATACTTCATTTCACTCCCCCTTGCTTTTTCCTGCACTTAGAATTACTACGGAGGAGAATGGGACAACATCATTGAGCTCTCTCCATCAAAGACTGCAACGTGGAAAAGAGCTGGATGCTTCATTTCACTCCCCCTTGCTTTTTCACTACCTTCTTCACCACTCCCTAACCCCCTTGCCATTGCATCATCGTCCGCCAGCGAGAACCCGAGGTGATAACCATAACTCATTGAGCTCTGACGGTGAGGTGGAAACGAGCTGGCAACTTCATTTCACTCGCCCTTACCACTCTCTAGCCCCTTTGCCATTGTATCATCGTCCGTCGGCAGGCACCCGACGCGATAACCACAACTCTCCAACATTGTGAGCGAGAGAGAGAGAGACATTCCCTCGCTCGAATTTTCAACACCTCCCCGCCTCCACGACTTCTCTGCCCCGCAGGCCATCCACACCTCCGCAGAAATCACCTCTCTCGAATCTCTCTCAGTTCCCCATCTTCTCCGCCACACAGCCCTTCCACTCCTCCGCAGAGATCACCTCGCCTCCACAGAGAATCACCTGCCTCGAATCTCTGTCCCCCTGCAGCCCTTCCACGCCTCTGCAAAAATCACCTCCCTCTAATCTCTGTCAGTTCACTATCTTCTCCGCCATGCATCCCTAGCACACCTCCACAGAGATCACCTCCCTCGAATCTGTCAGTTCCCCGTTTACTCTGCCCAGCTGCCCTTCCACGCCTCCGCAGAGATCTCCTCCACCCCGCAGCCCT